TAAACTAGAATAAATTATAAAAAAATAATTACAGACTGAACTCATCTCAATGACTCAACGCATCTCAATGAAACTTTAAATACATTCTGTAAAATTATATTTAATTCTCAGAATATGCATATCTCATATTTAATAGATTGAATTCGTTTCGTCAAAATTAAGCGTTTACTCGAACGGTCGCTCTTTCGAAATTGCAGGTTATGTTTATGTCAAAGTTATTTTCTCCCTAATTACAAGTTATAATTCTGCCTAATTGACGCTGAGCCTGGAAATAAAAATGAACAATTTGGGAAAAGCAGATACAATTAATTTAACCTTCAGGCTCGTTTTTATAGTCGTTGACAATCGAGCCGCAAGGCTGAAATAATCGTATCTCCTCTTCCTAAATTGTTCATTTTTGTTTCCAAGCTGTGCGTCAATTAGGGAGAATTTACTGTACACCATATTAGCATAGCTTATACATCTTGTTCATTCTGACGTCACGTAGACGATTTGGCCTTTGCTTCAGGAAAATTATCTGCACCCATGTCTATAGGTATACATATATGGTTTACGTGCTGGGCCATGTGGTGTTATGGGAGGGCACAGCGCAAGGCCGTAACGCAAGCCCCGGATAAAAGTCCCATGCGACACAGAAGCACTCCGCGACGGTGTTGGCGCGCGTTCGCCGAATGATGTATTGGTACCGCCAAGTGATATATGCTTATGGGGCGTATGGAGCACCGTGAACACGCACACGCGAGGCCCCCGTAACGGATACACGCGTGCCCGGCCATGGCGTGTTCATTATGTACGCTGGTAAATCATAAAGCTCCCTCTTGCGCTGCTCCAAAACCGAAAAAATCTAACTTCGAAATTTTTGCCTCTTTGGAAATCTATGGAATTTTCGCCACGGGTTTCCTATGTCCACCAGCTGAGTTATGGCGCGCGTAAACCTTGCTGTCGTCAGTCAGTGAGACGTTTATTGCGAGGGCTTTAAGGCATCTTTAGCTTGACTGAGAATTTCAAATATTATCCGTGTGATTAATTGCGTCGTTCAAACGAAATTAATAAAGTTCTTGGAAAATCAATCTCGTTGGGGGATATTTGACGAATTATTCAGGTTCGAAATAGGCGTTTCAGAAGAAGTTTATACAAACACAGGATAAACAATTTTATGGCCGTACGTTAATCATGTACTGAATAATTATTGAAACGGTAACTTTTCAAATAAGTCGTTTGGATATGTTTGAAAAACGATTATTAATAAAATATGCGTAGTATAGAATATTCAATCAAAGATCTGCTTGAAAGAAATTTAAAAAAAAAAGACGACAAATTGGAAAATATTTAGGAAAGAGCAGAATTTTTGTACAAGCTTACAAACAAAATTATGTTTTTACGATAACAATATATCAATTAATTATAATAAATTTTAATAGAAATTTACGTTATAATGGATT